GGACATTCCAGGCGAGGCAATGACATCTCCGTGGACACAAGCAGGTGGTAGAAAAGTTCCGCAGTGCAGCTTTACATTAATTGCTTTATCCTCAGTCGATGTACTGCGAGAGCCACCGGAAGCCCTCGCCGTAGCCCTGCCTCTTCAGAACGCTGCACATGAAGATCTCCAGAGGTCTCGTGCTGTTCAGATCCTTCAGAGGCACGTTTCCCTGCGAGAAAAGACACATTTATGAATTAATTTAGCTAATTTAAAGACGCATTGTGTAACTTTTCTGGTGGAGGGTCCGTCAAATGCATTTCTCCATGGAAAAAAATATATTCCTTTTGTCTCGATTACGGAAAAAAATCATTATCACGATTATTCTGGTCAATACTAAAATCACGATTATTCAAACAATGCATTTATTTTGCATTTCTCTGTCAAAAATAAACACTTCGTTATTGATAATTTACGTAAAATTTTCAAATTGAAAATAAATATAGGCAACAAATATGAACCTTAGAGCAGTTTTGCGATGTATAAAACATAAAATGAATAAAATTAACTTTGAACATGAAATAAAACATAGAAAAACATAATTGTATCCAAAATAAATCATATATCCAGCTGTTCTACAATCTGTATGTTTAAATAATTAAATAAATATACTTATTTATATAAAAAATATCCCAAAATAAACTAAGCTTTAAATCGTTTCAACTTGATTATATGAGTTTGGACACACAAATTGAAATCGCGATCAAAATTCAATTAATTGCACAGCCTTATTTCACAGTATGGCTTTAAACCTTTCTATCTTCATGGAGACCAAACCAGACCAAGTTACAGATCAGATCTGTGGAGAGGCGACCCCGCTCACAGTCAGAATTCCTGTTTTTCTACATATTTTTTGAGCTATAAAACCACCTGTAAATGAATAAATGTAAAGTAGAGTTGTTTAATGTCATATTGACATGACGTATCCATGGAAACAAGCAGGTGACGGACCCACAAACAAAAAGTGACACAGTCCAAATAGTTTACAAATGTAAGGAACGCTATTTAACTTCCAAGAGACTGGTGTAATGGCTCCCTCTGCTGACGGTAACAGGAATAAATCATGAAAAAAATGACTATGCAACTATTAGAGGCCACAACTCATTTCTCTTTCCTCGCTTCCTTCTCCTTGATTCCTTTCCTCAGTCCTCCATTTTTCAGCTGTCAATTAAATGTGTCATATTAAGTGTCGTCTCAGAGAAACCCACGGAGTGAAGGAGTAAACGTCAGAGAAGAAAATCAAACTTTAGCTTTTGACCTCAGTGACAAGTTTATATCCTTTCTCCTTCCTCACCCATTTCCTGCAGAATCGAGGAGAAGGAAGCGAGGAAAGAGAAATGAGACGCGGCCTTAGTACCTTTCCAGTGAGCTGTCCGTCCAGACAGAAGGCCCCCCTCAGAGCTCCTTCGCTCACAGCCTCCGCTCGGTCGATTTTATTCCCCAAAATCAGCATTGGGACATTGGAGATGTTCTCGTCTGACAGAAGAGCCTAAAAAACATTAAAACAGTTCAGTGTTTTTAAAATAAAACGTCACACCAACGCAATTTGACCCCTTACGTATCCTGAGAATATTTAAATAGTAAAGTAACATCTCAAAAATGTGGACAGAAACTCAGACAGCAAAAAAATCAGGCATTCCTTTTGTTTAGAAAAGTTCAAAAGCCTTTATTGTATCACAGCTTTCATCAGGGCGTATGGATAAACCCAGGTAAGCTGTTTCTTATCTGCTGCATCATTTATATTTTAATATTGTATAGTTTTATATGGATCACATGTTTAAAGGAACTGTGTGAAGCCTGTGCTCTTACTGTATTAAAAAAAATGATTACAATCACATCTGAACCTGCATCTCCAGAGCTTCAGCTGCAGATAGAGACACATCCAAGTTTGTCTCATTCTTAGTTTATGTTCAGGCCTCATGTGAAAGCTCAGAACCTCCAGAACTCCCTCCCTGAGCTGCAGAGGTTGCACTAGCACTGATCCATAATTGCTGTAGGTGCTGGGATTTACACAGTGACCATTCAGATCAGAGAGAGACGAGACATTTTAGGTTTAAACCATAGACTGTATATAAATGGCTAACGCACTAGACAACGCGTTTGAAATAGGATCCTGGTGTTTTTATTTTGCTATTTTGTCCGTTTATACTTCTAATATGGAGTGGCCGATGGGTGACATCACACTCCCTTAGTCCACTTCTTCATACAGTCTATGGTTTAAACTAATTGGATTGGATTGGAACATATATTATCTGTATCAGTGCTTTGACTCAGAGGATCTGTGACTCACATCCAGTTCAGTTTTGGATTCGTTGAGTCGGTCGTGATCGGCACAGTCCACCATAAACACCACAGCGTTCACCGCGGGGAGGTAGTTCTTCCACACTCGACGAGCTGAAGGTAACAGGACAACATGTGAAATGACTTATTTCTTTCATTGTTGGTAAAATCTTTAAAACATGAATAAAACTGTCAGAAATTCTTTACATCTTTACATCAAAATATTTACAATTTACAGTGTTTATCTAACTTTTGAAATAACTTTTTGGAGGGGGCATGTCACCTGCATGAATCCATAAGACTAAAGGACTAAACCTGGAGTAAGAAATATAGTAACAAAGACGATATTGTGATTGTCTCTCTTGAATGCTACTCTATGCTCAAACAAAGACACTTTTTCCCACCTCCTGTTGCTCAGCCTTAACAGTGAGCTGCAATGAAGTGTGAACTTTCAGCAGAAGCAGAAAACTTGAAGGAAATGTAAAGACCAAGTTTACATGAGTTGTGATCTGGCTTCTAGAAAATCATGATTTTATTCTTTTTTTTTTTTTTTTTTGCTACATTGCCCACCCTAAGGCAAGTTTTTATTGAAATAAAAATAAGTTTCTTATGTATATTTATTTATATATAAATGTCCTGTTACCTTGCACGTGTCCTCCTAGGTCAAATGTAGTAAATGTCATGCCTCCAATTGTCAGCTCTTCTGATGCTACAACACAAACCATAATGATATTAACTTGAACTATTAACTAAAATGAGATTACACGAAAATGCATAGGATACTGTGGAAAAATAGCACAATATTTTTCCCTTAATAAGCTATACATAGACCGTACATGTAATCAGAAACTTAGAAATTATAGAAACTTCATTCTTACTTGGGTGTAGTGTGGGCACATGTTGACCAAGTCTGTCGTCTTTTAACATGTGAAGAAGTGTAGTTTTACCGGCGTTATCCAAACCCAAGAAAACCAGCTTCCCAGACTTTTTATACAAACCTGGAATAAAAGATAAATTATTATATGCCTTCAGACGTTTTTTTGCATGTGACTTAAATGTAGAGCTTCTTAAACTAACTTGTACTTGCTTTATAAATGTATATTATATCAATAGACTTGTAATTACTCACCTAAAAATTGTAATATGTTGCTGAAACCTCTGTAAATCCAGTCAAATAGAAAAGACATTGTGATGGACACTGCCCTAAGAAACAAAGTGTGGTTTTAAGTTAATTTAACATATATAGAACAATAAAAAAAATAAAAAAAAAACATCAGTAGCCAATGCACCAATGCACCTGCTGTAGTGACTCAATAAAATAAATAAATAACTTGTAGTTACTGATCTAACTGCTTCTTGAATATCACGTTTAATAGTTTTGCACAATGATTCTCAATTAAAATATTAACCAAAACCGCACTGATTAAACTGAGCCACGTTTAATGAAACTGAATTAGATATGCGTAGTAAAGCGGTACGTAACAGCTTTATCTCACACTTAGCGCGCTAGCTAGCCTTCAAATTCCGGCATTTTTTAGAATTTTTCTTTACGTAATCAGATTGTATTTATACCGAAATCGATTAGACATAACGACTTATTAGTTTTTATTTATATTTGACGTTTCCAAAGCTTTGTTATGCAGTCTACGTTATATTTTTTACAAGATTTTCGCAGCTAAACTCACCCAATGACACGGATCAGGTAGCGGTCCCTGTGGTATCCTGGAGACAGCCAATCAGAGGAGGGCTTAACTTCTTCGCTGGTTTTGAGGTTGGTAAGTTTGTTTGGCCGGTGGGAAGCGCTCTCTGCAGATAATATGTTAACTTTTTCAATTATTTTAAGTTTTAAAAGTTATACTATTTTTTTTTTATTCTTAACTGCAACGTGAAATGGCAGGGTTAGCAAACAAAAATATTAGTTTAATTACAATAAAGTGCACTATTACATAAATTACTAAAGCCTTTTCTCATACCTTCAGTTAATGTAACTTATTTTAACTCTTATTTTTTGTTAATTTCATGTATTTTGAATTGTACATATATTTTTATTTTACTATTTATTTTTTTTCTTAATTTTTTTATTTAAAAGAAATAAGCATTGGTTGCAGTACAAATTCAAATAAATCAATACAGTCTTGTAATGAAATGTAACTTATTGTTGTTTTAATTATTTATTATTAAAAAAAACATCAAGAACATTCAAATTGTTTATTGCATGTTAAATCACACAGACTTTTTCACATAGGCTACCTTTTATTGTACCCCATATTTAAACTTATTTTTTAAATTTTAATTAATAATGATGAAATGTAATGTAACTTATATTGTTGTAGATTGTCAACAGTAATAAAAAATCTTTTTTGTTTGATCTTGCCCTGTCCTTAAAACAATGCCATATGTTTGAATTATTTATTATACAAATCATCATGAACAAAACACAATTTTCATATATTTTATTTCATTATTAAGTAAGAATCACAGTGTTTTTAACAGATAAGGTGATTATCTGAGTTATAGTGAATAAAATAAAAGGCGCTTTTTCCGGTTTCTCTGCTGCATCTTCTCATTTCTCCAAGAAGAACCATTTGTCAACTGAGAAAAACAAAATACGTGGAGTTATAATTTAAAGTAATACATTAATAATACTTTTAAAACAGCTTTACATTATGCAATTTCAAATGTTATGTTTTACCTGAACTGGGAATGGGTGCTGCAGGTCCCAAAGGACTGGCCTGAAAGATAAAAAAAAAAAAAAAAAAGGACAGTTTTATAGACTTTAATAAATAAATAAAAGACGCACTGTGTAACTTTTATGGTGGAGGGATTGCCATATACTTCTATCTTTATTGTTTTGCCTGAAATTTTCCGTAGTATGACATGAAACGAATTTATTTCCATCATGATAAGCAGATGACGCTGTTGAAGCTGAGTTGTTAGGTAGTAATAAAAACACATACATTAAATTTATTAAATGCAAAATAGATACAGGGCATTTAATGCAATACTGTGGAACATTCCAAGCAAACCAATAGAATAACGATTGAGACAAGGAGGTGGGGGACAGGCTATATTTACCAGAAAAGTTCCATAGTGTCTTTAAACAGTAAAATAAACTCACCGCTTTGACTATGTCCTCTGCTGCTGCTGCTGAAATGCGGAATGGACTGTCAGCAACAGTTGTGTTGATACTGGAGACAAAAGAATTTAAAATTATAAAACAAGCAATTATAAAGTATGTATAGCAACAGGTATTAATTATGAGCGAGCTAAGGGTAAGAAAGAAACACACACACGATTTAAAGGTCCCATATTACACAAAACAGACTCTTGTGAGCTTTAATTCGTGTTATAATGTTATTGTCTCCACAAAAACAGACCTCTAAGTTTAGTTTAATTAAATCCTCACCAGTTGAGTTCTCCAGCCTCAGCTTGATTTAGGATCAGAGCTCTCCAGTACTGATGAGTGCCCCTCACAATTTTAGTGGCAAAGTCCTGGAAAAGAACAAACACTTGTTGTATTACTTCAAGACAATGAGACAAACAAGAAAACAATAATAAAGTATAAGTGATTTTTTAAGTAAGTGCTTTTTAGTTCAGTGAATGAATGAATGTTCTCACATTCTCACACCACATCAAAATTGGGACTAAGCTTGGACTAAAACAGGACTAAAAACAGGACTAAATCAGGACTAAATCAGGACTAAATCAAGACTAAAGATCTAAACAATAATAATAAACCAGGCCCAAATATTAATCAAACCAGATCTAAACCAGGACTAGACACCGACTAAACAATAACCAAACCAGCTCTAAACCTGGACTAAAACAGGACTAGATCAGGACTAGCCCCAATCTAAACCGGGACTAAACCCAGACTAAACCAGGAGTGAACCAGGTCCAAATATTAACCAAACCAGATCTAAACCTGAACTAAAAAAAAGTCTAAGTAACTTCAACAGTTCTCTTGGATTAAATATTGTCCTAATCTTATAATATACTGTTTTTAAATATGTAATTTG